GAGCAAACCCGGGCCTCCTGCCTTCCAGGCAGGTTCTCTCCCATCTGAGCCACCAGGGAAGCTGCTGTGGGTTGTTAAATTGGGTAAAGGGTATTTGGGGGCACTGATGGGCCTGTGGTCGGGGTCTCTGAGGCCACAGCACCTCCCGTGGAGGAATGTCTCTTCTGCTCACTGGCTGTGTCCAGCAGCACCCATGTGGTCTGGCTCTCAGGGCCAGGGTGCAGTTCTCAGGATTTCCACTCTTGTCCTCTGCTCGGGACAGGCCCTCAGGCCCTGGGGAACTAAAGCCAAGGGTATCAGGGACCCAGCAGCCTCAGAAGCCCCAGGACATCTGCCTCTGGGGCCTTGCTTTGTTCTGAAGGCAGATCCTATTCCAGATGAGATGGGGTGGGAAGGACCAGAACAAACCGTTCTCAGAAACCGCCCCGCATCTCCACCACTGTGGCAGGCCCGGCTGAGGGCGGGGTTCAGTCGTTGAAGTGTCCGGCCAATTTCCAGACCACTGTCAGCCGGTGGCCAGGCACCACCTACGCCAGCCTGACCTCTCCCTGTGCCCAGAGAGACCAAGGTAGACTTGCTTCATGGGAGAGGTCTCTGGAGGATGAAAGGGTTCCCCAAATTCAGAAGCAATTGAGATGAATCTAGAATTCACCTGTGTCTCCTTGAAGTCACTTGTCTCCCAGCCTCCCTACTACTCTCCCCGACCCCTTTCCCAGACTCCTTAGACTGGCTTTTTAAAAAAAATTATTTTTTGGCTACCCCTCCCAGCATGCAGAATCTTATTCCCCCAATCAGGATCAAACCTGCTCTGCCTGCAACAGAAACACATGGATTCTTAATCACTGGACCATCAGGGAAGCCCCAATAGCATATATATTAATTATATAAGACCCTGATGCTGGGAAAGATTGAAGGCAGGAGAAGGGGATGACAGAGGGTGAGATGGTTGGTTGGCATCACTGACTCAATGGACATGAGTTTGAGCAAACTCCCGCGGAGTTGGTGATGAACAGGGAGGCCTGGTGTGCTATGGGGTCGCAAAGAGTAGGACATGACTGAGGGACTGAACTGAACTATTTATATACATATATGCATATGTAGTATGGCATATATTGGTGTTAATATAATGGTGTATGGTATATAATATATATATCTACATATTTGACTTCGCCATGTGACATTGGTATCTTTGTTCCTCCCCCAGGGTTGAAATCTGTGCCCCCTGAATATTAAGAGCCAAATCTTAACCACTCGACTGCCAGGGAAGTCCTGAACTAGCTTTGTCGCTCAGCTGTTCAGTCGTGTTGAACTCTTTGTGACCCCATGGACTGTAGCCAGACTCCTTGGCGCATGGGATTTTCTAGGCAAGAATACTGGAGTGGGTCGCCATTTCCTTCTCTGAACTGGCTTTAAACGTATGCTAATGAGGGACCCCTCCCAGCAAACAGGTTTTAGCACTGGTTGCCTAGTTAATGAAAACTTAAAGAAGGAGGGGACCACGGAGGATGAGATGGTTAGATAGCATCACCAACTCAATAGACACGAATCTAAGCAAAGTTCAGGAGATAGTGAAGGACAGACAAGCCTGGTGGGCTACAGCCCATGGGCTCACAGAGTCCAACTGAACAACAACAAAGCCGGAGGCCAGAGTGACTGATCCGTTTCAGGGAGCTCTGACTTTCAGCTCCCCCTTTCAGGTGGTCCCCACTGTCTGGCCCTTACAAGCGGCTGCACACCCTCACTTTTGGGGTCCCTGAAAGGTGGGGTGGGAGGAGTTGGGGAAAGGAGACTGAAGTCACAACTCTGCAGCCCAAATCCCTCTTCCTCTTCATGCTGGAAAGAATTGAAACAATTCAGTGATCACCCCATTCCCCAGGTCGGCCAGCGAAGGCCAGGCGCAGAAAGAGACAGAAGTCTAGAAAACCGGGGCCCCAACGCCAGCCCAGGCGGCGGGGCAAACCTAGGCTTTATCGCTCGGGGTGTTTCAGGGAGTTTTGACTTCTGGCTGCCACAGATTGAGGCAGGCAAACAAACAGCCCAGGAGGTACCTCCCTTCTCCCTGCGCCCTCCCCTATCTTGCTACCCCCTGGCCCGCGACCAGCCGCCTCCCCTTCCCTCCCCGCCCCCTCCCCGGGCGCTCCGGGCAGAACCCACACGCCCAGCCGCCCGCACTGCCACCGGCTGGCTCCGACCGCGCGCTGCTGGCGATCCTCCAAGCAACTCGGCGTCAGGAGAACTAGCACCCCGGAGACCCGGCGCCCAGCCTTGCCTCCGCGTCCCCTGGGCCCCGGCCAGGCCCAACAACCACTCCCTTCTCGGTGCGCCGTGGCCCCTCTGGGTCTCCCGCGCTTGCCAACTGGGCCCCGCTGCGGCAGCCCACCTCCCGCGCCGCCCGCAGCCCCAGCGGGAAGGCGGCCGGAAAATCTCTTGTTTACTGGGCCGTGGCGATCCCAGATTGGATTGCTTCCCCGTTTCTACAGTTCCCTTTCTGCCGATCCCTGACGACGGAGGGAAAGGGTGGCCACCAGCTGATCGGTGGATTGGGACTCGGGTGGGGTACGGGGAGGGGAGGTGCTCGAACTCTTGGAAAAGTCGCCGGGCGGCGGGAGGGGCAGGACTCCGCGGTCAGGCTGGCGTGTCCCGGAGCGCAGAGGCCGCGGGGGCCGGGTGAAACACTGTACCTCGGGGAACTGAGCCGTGACGGCTAATGGGGACAGGTCGGGACGGGAACCGGGACGCGGGGAGGGGAGCGCGCGCTAAGGTAGACCGTGTCCGGGACGATCCCAGGCAACCTGGGCGCGGGGCACTCGGACCCGGGGATACTTCTGCCCGCTGTCCCCAGTGGTTCTGGGCCCGGCCCACCGCGCTTAGGGGCGCGCGGGGTGGAGCTCCCACGTACAGTAGGTGACCCAGGTGCGGAGGAAGGGTCGCGCGTGCAAGACACTCGGTGTGTGTTGTGTCCACGTGTGCAAGCTCTGATAGGGCAGGGGGCACAGAAGGCGTGACAAAGACATCGACTTTGCGACTGAGTGTGCCCCTCGCTCTAGTCCGGAGCGGGGAACTAGCCCGCGCGCGTCTCCCGGGAGAGCCAGGACGAAGGTGACAAAGGCTAGGTGTCCGCCTCAGAGAGACGCACCAAGGTGGCCCCCGCGCGTTGCTCGTGTGTGCGTGCGCTGGGACTCGCGGAGACCGAGAGCCCTCCGGCTAACTGTGTCGGGCCGCTCCCCAAGCCGCTTTCCGGAGCGAAAGCCGAGTCCTCCAAGTGTGTGCGCGTGAGTGTGCGCGCGCCCGCGTGCGGGGGCGTGGCAGTAAACAGCAACAACCCACCGGCCAGCTGGGCCAGAAACTCCGATCTCGCTCCGGAGCCGGAAAGGGCGTCTAGTCGGAGCCGAGAGGTGAGTCGGGGATGGGCTGGGGGGAGGGCCGGTCGGGCTTTGTTACCTTGTGAGCGGACTGCCCGCACCTGGAGCCCCGCGGGCGCCCGATAAGCGCCTGAATGGAGGTGATGTCACGGCGATGCAGGCGTCGGCCCACCCTCGCCAAAAGAAAGGAGTTGAGCGCCTGGAGAGGCCAGCGCGACAGCGAGCGCGGGAGCACCGCCAGCGCCGGGTCCCGCTGAGGCAGGCCCTGCGCCCCGATCCCCCGCCGGGGCCCCGCCACCTCAGGCCAGGGTTGGGCCTGGCCCCGCGCCCTGCGCCGAGTCCCTCCCCGCCGCGCTCGCGCCCCGCCTGGAGTTGGCCCCAAACGCCGCGCCGGAGCTGGGCCGGCGGCGCGTCCCAGGTAAGGGCTGCTGCCCGCTCGCTCCGCCCTCCCGCCCGCCGCCGGGAAGAGTAGGGTCGGGTCGGGCTGGTGGGGAGTGGGCGAGGGTAGAGGCCCGGGGTTGGGAGAACCGGGGGACGGAGGGCGCCGCTTCGACTCAGCTCGATCGCAGAAACTTTCCAAACGCAGCCGGCTGGGGACTAGGGGGTGCGGGAAGCCCGGCGCCGCGGCTCCGAGTTGGCGGCGAGGGCGAACTCCACGGTCCGGGTCTCCCAGGACCGCCCCCTCCGCCCTCGCAGCCTCGCTGCGCGGGTCCGCGGCCACCAGTGACCTGCGGGCCGGCGTCCTCTCCGCTGCCCGCCACCGTGGATCGGGAGGGCAGGTTTCTGGGGACCGGAGGGAACGGGAGAGAGGCTGCACCCTGCTGTTTCTGTTCCGCCATCCCGGGGAGTGTGGGTGTAGACCCCGGGGCCGGGAAGGATCAGGGAGGGGAGCGTTCGGAATCTTCCTGCGCCAAGTTCGGGATTTCGGTCCGTCGTTAAAGTCTCGCCTTTGGGCATCGTGGCTTCTAGAACCTTTCCCTTCGCCCGCCCCTCCCCCACCCGGGGGCTCTCCTGCGCCCTTCCCCGCCGCGGAGGTGGAGTTGAGGCGCTTCTGCCCCGACCCACAGTTTTAAACCCCGCCAAACGCGATCATTTGAAAACTCCACGCACTCGATACTAAAACGCAGGGACCGGACTGTGTTCAAATTGGGTTTTGTGCTTCCGGAAGGTCCCTCCTGGAGCCTTTTTGTGTGGCTGGGGGAGGGCGTGCCGCTGGGGGTGGGGCGCATTCCGGAGTGGCTTTCTAGAGCGAACCCCTGGGTGGTGGACTCACGTGTTTCTGAACGCTCAGGCAGTTGGGGGCCAGATGCTCACCCTCGGGTGTGAGGGTGTAGGCTGGGGTTCCCGGAAGCCCTCTAACTCCCCCTCTTCACTGCCCGCAGCAACTTGGGCGCAGAGGTCGCTCCGTAGAGGCCTCTCTGACTCCTCCGATTGGTCGGTTTAAACGCCAGAGCCCCCAGAGCAGAGGAGGATGGCAGGACCTAACCTGGAGCGGGGAGGCGGTGGGAGGCTGTCAGCGGGGCCATCCGTCTCTTCGTGGGCTGCTGAGTGGTGGCAGAGCAGGAGGAAGGAGGCTGCTCAGTGGCTGTCTGCGCGGGGCCTCTACCTGGCCATGGTACTCTTGAAGGTAACCGCTGGCTGTGGGTCTGTATCTTCCTCTGCCCCCTTGAGCGGGGGAGACAGACCAGGTCGGCAAGGTGAGAGGCTCCGGTGCCTCTTTTCAGGATGTTTCTCGGGCTTGCTTGTGGCTGGCTGCCTCATCCTTGCCCAGTGAAGCCCACTCGGGCTGGCTGGGCCTTGGAGCCCACCACTCTGCAGAGGGAAAGAGGGAGGAGGGGTTTCTGGAACCCGACTGGGCCAACTCAGACCCGAGATGGGGGCAGAGTGAGTGAGCCTGGGGAAAGGCCGATTTCAGAGGTGATTAAAAATATTTGTATAACTGATTCCAGGGAGGTGAAGCAAAAGGGCTCCTTTGTCCTGAAAATAATCTGCAGCGTGACTAGGCTGCAGCCATGGTCTGGGGAGCACTCACGGGGTGGAAGGGGTCCCCCTCCTTGGTCCTACTGAGAATCTTAGAGCAGAGGCAGTCACTCTAAAAGGAGGAGGCAGGGCTGGAACGGGGGAGAAACGAGCACCCACCGTGTTCAGTGAATGATTTTCCAATGCCTCCTATGTTCAGTGCAAGACTCGATGTTGCGGGAGATGCTAACATAAACACATCTTGCTAACTCTGTAGACCTTAAAGCCAGGTGAAGGAGACACCGCACACACGATTCTAACCATTGAGGCTCAGACGATGAGCTGGAAATGCAGGCTCTAGGGACCCACAGGGTGGAGAGTCTGGAGACGGAGCTGGTTCTTCATTTCATCCAAATCCTTTCCCCCTGGCCACTATCTTCAAAAATGGCATCCCTTGACTGGCTGAATCTGCATTCCTGGATGTTGAAGGACCCTGGGCCGAGCTCCTGAAGTCTCCCACTGGCTTCCAGGGGTCGCTGTCCCAGGCAGTGGACAAGAGCCAGGCCCAGCTGGCCCAGTCTTCCTACCTGAGCTGGTGCGAGCCTCTCTCCCCGCTCACCGACATCCAGGTTCCCATGTTGCTGGGTCCAGCAGGCTTAAAGCATAAGATCGGGACCATCAACGAAGTGAGAAGGAAACTGGGGTGAGGGCTGTGAAGCTGCTCTAGCCCTGGCCCAAGTTCCTTGGAGGTGCTGGATTCTGGTGGGGTACCAGCAGGTATGGCTCTAAGAGCAAGACAGACCAAGAAGAAGGGTTGACATAGGAGTCCCAGGACTAAATGGGAGCTGGCTTGGGTTTTGGTAATGAAATGACCGTTAGGAGATTTGAACTTGTAGCATGGGCTTAGTATCCTTTCCCCCAAATCCAACCAGGATTTAGATTTTTTAAAATCTTTATTTATTTATGTGGGTGCATCGGGTCTTAATTGCATGAGGGATCTTCTGTTGCGGTGCACAACTCTCTACTTATGGCTCACGGGCTCAGTAGTGGTGACGCCTGAGCACCAGAGTGCAGGCTATTGCTCCGTGGCATATGGGATCTTAGTTCCCTGACCAGGGATCAAACCTGCGCCCCTGCATTGCAAGGCGGAGTCTGAACCACTGGCTCACCAGCAAAGTCCCCAGGCCTTAGATTTTATTTGGGTAAGAACCTCCATTAGGCCTTACCTTTGGCCTCTGTCTTTAACTAGGGATGACTGTGTCCTCAGCAAATGGATTGCCAATGCTTTTTTGCCAGACTCAGATCTTAAAGCACAACGCTGGTAATGCCCTCACTGTGCTAAAGAATAGCCTTCAGTGGCCCCCACTGCCTTTAAGAGTCATGCCCCGAACTCCTAACCTGTTCCTAATTAGAGCGTCTCTAATCTGTCGCCAGCCAGCTGCAACCTCTTACAAGCTCGGTTCATTCGTACTTATTGGTGAATTTAATTAGAATCTGAATAAAGTGCTGTTGAGAGGTCGTCTCCACCCTGGATCCTCCTCTGTGTTCCTGTATCACTTTTCTCTCTCCAGAGGTCGATTCTTTTGTGTGGCTCTTTACCTGATTCTTCTTGGGTGGTTTTCTTATGGACCTATCTTTTCTCTCTTTTCGATTTGAAATAACATTATGGCAGGGATTGGGTGTGTGTTCATCTTTGTATTTTTCACCGTGCGTCTCAGAACTACTGGGCTTGGTCCCCACGAGACGCACAGTGAATTGCTGATTTGGAATAATTGTTGTAAACTGGAACCTGGAGGAGGGAGGTGGGATGAGCAGTTCTCGAAGATGCACAGATTGCTGGAGGCTAAGTCTGAGTGACCGTTCTCAGGGTTCAGTCCCACAGCTTCGCCCCAAGTTCTAGCTGCTTGGCTGTGAGACAGAAACACCCAAGATGGGCCTGAGTGCTTAGAATCCCTTAGCATGTTATCCATAAATTATCTCCTGGAATGGTTCAATACACCCTATCCATTAGCCCGCTCCGATTCCTTTTTTCTCTTCCTAGTCATTGTAAATAAAGTACAGTGTGTGCCTTATTGATTTACGATTACGCAAAGTCCCCTACAAAAGCTTATTTAAGTCATGATGTAGGGAAAACATGCTTTTGTGTTGAAGTCGAGCGAAACTAGCTGCATTATGGTACCATTTATTTAGGAAAACAATATGGTAAATTCACATAAGATTGTTAATTTATTAAAAATTAATGGTCAGCGTTGTTTGGGGAAAAGGAAGCTTTAATTGACAGATGAGGTGGTAGCCAGGAATGCTGAGAGACCTAAACTATTTTCAAAGGGCATGTAGGATATCTTAAAGGACTTTCAAAGTTGATGATCTTTTTATTATGTTAGTCTCAATTTGTGAGTTTTATTTTCCCTGACTTAGTAGCAGTGTCCTTCCCCTTATCAATTATGGAGAGTCAGTTTTCTTTGCCTGTTAGACATTAATCAGCCAGGAACAGTGGAAACATTAAAGGGTTTTGTTGTTGTTTAGCCAATAAGTCATGTCCGACTCCTTTGTGACCCCGTGAACTGTAGCCTGCTAGGCTCCTCTGTCCATGGGATTTCCCCGGGCAAGAACACTGGAGCAGGTTGCCATTTCCTTTTCCAAAGGGTTGTGGTGTGTTAGTTGCTCAGCTGTGTCCAATTCTTTGCAAACTTGTGGACTATAACCTGCCAGGCTCCTCTGTCCATGGAATTCTCCAGGCAAGAATACTGGAGTGGGTAGCCATTCCCTTCTCTCAGGGATCTTCCCAACCCAGGGTTCGAACCCAGGTCTCCTGCATTGCAGGCAGATTCTTTACCGTCTGAGCCACCAGGAAAACTCCAAAGGGTTACTGATGGACAAATCTACCCTCCACCTTCAAAGCAAAAGAAAGGTAGTGAGTAGGATCATGCCATTCCCCTCCCAGCCACTAGTAGTCACTAGCCCAGGAAAGCTTGGTTGCTGTCCTGGAAAGTTCCTGGGTCCAAGAGGTAAGAGAGGAAGCGGCAGGTTTACCAACCATTTACTTGAGCACAGTGCAAATAAAAGACAGCCTTCTTGCCTTCTAGCTACGGGGTCTTGATGTCTATCATTACAGATTAATTCCTTTGGGTTTTGCTTTGCCCTTGCGTTGTTCTTGCTTTTAAAATGTGAATGCCTCATAGGAAGATTTTTGCGTTAAGTCATTAACTCCCTAACTGGGAAATTTGTTAAATTTTATCCTTGAGACTCTTTAACAACTTGAGCTTCCAAGGAACTTGGATTCCAAAGAGAAGTGTTGAAGAGAAGCGTTGGGACTAAAAGTGGGAAAATGAAGGGCAAAAAGGATCAGTGGTAGGAAGACATCGGGGCAAAGTGTTGATACATACAATCTTTCAGTCATCTCTTCACTTTCTGGTAGCAGTTTATACCTGTTCCTGGAGCTTGTTAAATACTCACTGTTAAATACTCAGCTTGTTAAATACTCACTGAATGAATGAATGCATGGCTGCTTCTCTGTGGACTTGGGTATCACAGGGACAGGGTGGAGGGCCAAGTGGCTGGCCATCTGAACTCTGGAAGTCCCAGGGCAGAGACGAGCTGAGTGCTTAGCGAATGTGCTCATAAACTTCTCCCCCATCCTAGCTGCAAGAGCTTAGGGAATATTTGGGTCCAGGTTACAATTGGTGGAGCGAGGTGAAAATTTAGTACAGTTTCCTCCTCTTCCATGCCTGGGAAGAGGAATGACAGCTGGGCTTCATCTCATTTGTCTCTCTGGTTAGTTGACATGAGTCCCGGGAGTTGTGTGTTGAGAAGGATTCTGGGAACTTCTTGGAGGTCCAGTGGCTAAGATTCTATGCTCCCAATGCAGGGAGCCCAGGTTTGATCCCTTATCCAGGAACTAGATCCCACACGCTGCAATTAAGAGCTCCCGTGCCACAACGAAGATCGAAGACCCCTGCATGCCCCAACTGGTGCAGTCAAATGAATATGTACATAAATAAATAAGAATAAAATAAAGAAGGGTTCCGGGAAGTTGCCCAGTGGTCCAGTGGTAACACTCCACACTTCCACTGCAGGGAGCATGAGTTCAGTCCTTAGCCAGGGAGCTAAGATTTCACATGGCGCTTGGCACGGCCATAAAACAGGGAGGAAAAAAGGATTCGGCAGCTCAGAGCGACAGACCCAAGATCATGCGCCCTGGTCCAGGACTGGGGGGGAGCAGCACCCTGTGTGTCGGGGTCTGGCCCAAGGGACTGATTTTGCCTTTTCTCCCCTCCACCTCTAGGGACCCAGCTGGAGCCTGGCCTGGCATCCAGGATGGCCATCCACAGAGCAGTGCTGACATGTCTGGGACTGCCTCTCTTCCTGCTCCCAGGGGCCCGGGCCCAGGAGCAGGCCCCGCCCGGGTGCAGCCCCGACCTCAACCCCCTCTATTACAACCTGTGTGACCGCTCTGAGGCTTGGGGCATCATCCTGGAAGCTGTGGCGGGGGCGGGTGTCGTCACCACCTTCGTCCTCACCATCATCCTCGTGGCCAGCCTGCCCTTCGTGCAGGACACCAAGAAGCGGAGCCTGCTGGGAACCCAGGTGTTCTTCCTGCTGGGGACCCTGGGCCTCTTCTGCCTTGTCTTTGCCTGCGTGGTGAAGCCCGACTTCTCCACCTGTGCCTCCCGGCGCTTCCTCTTCGGGGTCCTGTTCGCCATCTGCTTCTCCTGCCTGGTGGCCCACGTCTTGGCCCTCCACTTCCTGGTCCGGAAGAACCACGGGCCCCGGGGCTGGGTGATCTTCCTGGTGGCCCTGCTGCTGAGCCTCGTGGAGGTGATCATCAACACGGAGTGGCTAATCATCACGCTGGTGCGGGGAGCCAGCACCGAGGGTGATGCCCCGGGCAACGGCAGCGCGGGCTGGGTGGCCGTCTCCCCCTGCGCCATCGCCAACGCGGACTTTGTCATGGCGCTCATCTACGTGATGCTGCTGCTGCTCTGCGCCTTCACGGGGGCCTGGTCAACCCTGTGCGGCCGCTTCAAGCGCTGGCGGAAGCACGGGGTCTTCGTGCTGCTCACCACTACCACCTCCATCGCCGTCTGGGTGGTGTGGGTCGTCATGTACACCTACGGCAACCGGCAGCACAACAGCCCCACGTGGGATGACCCCACGCTGGCCATCGCCCTCGCCGCCAACGCCTGGGCCTTTGTCCTCTTCTACGTCATCCCTGAGGTCTCCCAGGTGACCAGGTCCAGCCCAGAGCAGAGCTACCAGGGGGATCTGTACCCCACCCGAGGCGTGGGCTACGAGACCATTCTGAAAGAGCAGAAGGGCCAGAGCATGTTTGTGGAAAACAAGGCCTTTTCCATGGACGAGCCAGCCTCAGGTGGGTCACGGGACACCCTCCTCGGGTCCCCTCTTGGTGATGCCTTAGTCGCTCAGTTGTATTTGACTCTTGCGACATTGTGGACCGTAGCCCGCCAGGCTCCTCTGTCCGTGGGATTTCCCAGGCAAGAATATGGGAGTGGGTTGCCATTTCCTTCTCCAGGAAGGTTCCCTTTATTTCTAAAAAAAAAATTTTTTGAAACTTTTTATTTTATATTGGGGGATATTCGATTAACAGTGTTGTGATATTAATGGTTTCAGGTGAAGCAAACGGACTCAACCATGTCTATTGTTTGCATTATTATTTGGCCATGCCATGTGACTTGTGGGATCTTAGTTCCCCAACCAGGGATTGAACCCCAGGCCATGGTAGTGAAAGCGCCAAGTCCTAACCACTGGACTGCCAGGGAATCCCTGCCAGGTCCTCTTTTATTCCAGGTGACTTATTGCAGGACCGGGGACTAGTCTCCTGAGCAAAATGGGAGGTGCCTGAGAATATCCAGAGCTCTCTGCCACCAAGTTCCTAAATTCCATTTTTTTTTAAGATTTTTTTCTCTATACTCATGCAATTCATCAGTGTATTTTCATTGTAAAATCTGACACATTAGAGATAAAATTACCCTCCACTGTCTCCCTAATTCTACCCTGTTCCTTCCTCTTCTGTCCACAGGACTGATCACTGTTGACTGATATTTTCCCACTAGGTGCCTCAGTTTCCTCATCTGTAAAATGGGGATAATAATGTTTCCTGTTTCATAGGATTCTTTTGAGGATTCAGTTAATGCATCTTTTTTTTTTTTTGAGCCATGCTTCATGGCATGGGAGATCTTAGTTCCCCAACCAGGCATCGAACCCTTGCCCCGTGCAGTGAAAACACAAAGTTCTAACCACTGGAACTCCAGGGAATTCCCCAACTACTGCATCTTCCTGGCCCTTGGAAAATACTCCAGAAGTATTAGCCATCAGTTCGGTATTAGCTCTATCAACTTTGTGTATTACTATTATTTTTCTGTTATTATTATCCATCCAGAGCTTGTTCTTCTATTACACACATATCCATAGCCTTAGCTTCCTTTAAAAGCTTTTTCAGTTAAAAATTTTCCCTTTTTCATGAAAGTGTGTGTGTGCCACATGCTGACCTAAGCAGCACCCACTATTCAATCACTGGCTTGTCCCCAAGCTCCTGCCCCGGCTCTTTGTTAATGGGATGGGGTTCTCCTTCAGAACCAGCACTCGGGGTGCCAGGCAGGAACAGAGCCTTGGGTTTTGGAGTTAAGGGCGCCCTGGAGGTGGAAGTGGGGGAGAGAAGCCCCCGCAGCCTGTGGCCAGGCCCCCCTCAGGAGCAACCTGGGAGGCAGGAACAGTGGGTGGCTGTTCTCCGAGAGACGTGTCCAGACACGCTCCCCACCCACAGAAGGAGCCCTCTGCGGTTCACCGTCAGGACCACTAGCGTATACTGAGCACCAACCGAGCACCAGGGGCTGAGCCTTTATGGACGCGCCCTGTAGCCTGCGTCTCGTGCGCTTTCTTAGCCGACTGGCTGCAGCCCCTTCATCCGCTGTGACCCGGAAAGCCTGGACTCTGACCCTGGCCTGTGCTGATCGAGGCGTCTGGGGGCTTCAGACTTGACCTGCCTGATTGGAGCACCGACCAGCTCTGGGGCTTCTGCCAGGGGTCAGAGGCCAGGGAGGTTGCAGAGTCAGAGCCCGCTGCCTTTTCTCTGCAAGCTGAGGTCCCTGTGATCCCAGCATTGGGGAAAGGCTAGATCCTCACCCTGCCAAGCGCTGATCTTTGACCTGCCTGCCCAGGGGTGGCCCTGGCACATGTACAGCCTGGGGTGGTGGGTGAGGCTCACGGAAGAGTGTTGGGAGGAGCCTTGGCCGCCCCCACCTCGCCTCCCACCCGCTGCCTGTCAGGCCCAGGGTTCTCAGCCTTTGTCCTCAAGGTAAACACTTCTGGGGCTGTGAGAGGTTTTTTTCCTTTTATTTTGGTTTTTTTTTTTTTCTAAATGGAAAAATCAATTGAGTGAGCCCGGCACTTAGGAGGCCCTATAGAACTGTGGTCCCTACGAGCCGAGGGACCATCAGCTGGCCGGAGACTGGCATCCACTGGCCCGGCCCTCAGGGCTCAGCCCGCTCCCCGGACCCCAGGAATGGTCAGCAGTTTTCCTCAGCCGCAGCACCCAGGACAGGACAGATCGGGAAATCGACAGCCTCGATGGCACAGGGGAGTGTTTCTGAGGCTGAAAATAGTTCTGGAAATTTGCCAAGGGGCCACGGGGCTGGATGCGCCTTCAGTCCCCTGGGGGGTGGGGGGGCAGGCAGTGGCTCTGGGTCCTAGGCGGTTAGCACCCAGCTCTGCCCCATGGAGACTCTCGGGCGGTGGGGTCCCTGCTGTATTTACCCCAGCGCCTGGCAGCTGGCCCGCAGCGGGAGAGGCCAGAGCTGGGGGCTGGCCATCTTGGAAGGCCGCCGAAGGTCCATGTGCCCGTCTTGGCCTCTGGCCCCTGGCCCCGGAGGGCAGACGGGGATGTGAAGGTTGCTGACGGAGCGTTTTTCAGTAGGAAGGGGTCTCGTGCTACAGGAAAACCCGAGGGGAAGGCAAACATCATGCTCTCTGTGCATCCAAACAAAGGGATGCTGGGCTCCAGTGGCGGGGTGGGGGGGCCCACACCTATGGCCTCACCCCCAGGGCTGGCCCAGCCCCCTTGTCCCTCTTCCTGCTCCCTGGGGAGCCTCCCTTGAGAGCCGGAAAGAGAGCTGAGAGCCCAGCCCTGAAACAGCACCTCTGTCTCCTTGCAGCTAAGAGACCGGTGTCACCATACAGCGGGTACAACGGGCAGCTGCTGACCAGTATGTACCAGCCCACTGAGATGACGCTGATGCACAAAGCCCCGGTGAGTGGCGTCCCCGCGTCCCCCTGACCCTGCTGGAGCCGGGAGGCCAGTGCTGGCAGGGTGGGTGGAGGTGGTGGGGAGAAGGCTGGCTCTGCGTCCGATGGGTCAGCCTTGGGGAACCCAGGGCCCCCGAAGCCGTTTTCCTGGGAGTGACAATCCCACTGCCTTCAGCAACACTGAGGCAGGGCCTGCCTGCCCGCATCATCAGGGTATCACACAACCCCCTGAGGCCAGATGCTCAGAGCGGTCTCTCTTCATGCTGGTGGGAGCCGCTAGCTGTCCCCCACGCAGGGACAAGGGGGCCTCAGCCAGGTATCTGTGTTCCTGGTGGACAGAGACGCACAGGGCGGGTCTGGGTAGATCCTGACTCCGCAACCACAGCCGTCCCTGGAGGGCCCCCAGCTCCCCTCCCCCCGCCAGCAGGCAGCCACTCTCAGCTTCACACCTCCCCTGGGTTCTGGAAACCAGATGCTCCGTTAGCCAAGGGAGGGGGGTGGGAACAGGAAGCCGGTGGGTTAGAGTCTTTACTCACTCCGTTTGTGTTCCTCCTCCCGGCTGGCTGGCAGTCACTGTGCGCAGAGGTCAGTGACCCCCCCTTGGCAGGAGGCTGGGAACAGGAAGCAGGGAGGTCAGTGGGGTGGCGTTCTCATCCTCTCCCCGCCTGGCGCCCTGGGGGCTGGGTGAAGCCAGTGCACCCCACACTTCCAGTCCCGGGCTCTCCCCGGGCCTGAACCTGTGGCCTGCAAGAGCGGGCTGTGGCCAGGAGCTGGGAGGGCAGAGGAATCTCAGGAGGGTGGGAGCAGGGTCTGCCAGCCCCCAGCCGCCCAGGGTCCCCTGCCTGGCCGCCCCACTCTACCCGTGTGCATTGAGCACCGCTCCTTCAGGAAGGCTCTGGACGAACAGATGTTTTATCTAACAGTGACTCCAAAACCATGGTCCCTTGGCCCCCACCACTCCCATCACCTGTGTGTGCTCAGCTGGGTCCCACTCTGCCACCCAATGAACTGTAACCCACCAGGCTCCTCTGTACTGCACCTGGAACTTACTAAAAATACAAGGGCCGGTGGTGTGATGGAGCCAATGGTTAGCATCGCTTCGGTGACGTCACCTTGATTACATGGAGTTATCCAAGTCACAATGGGAGTGACCGACCATGGAAATCTGCTGACGTCACAGATCAGGGTCCTTGAACAGTCACCAGCTCACCTCCGGGTGGGGCTCAGCAGTCCAGGTGATTGTGACCCACAGCCAGGCTTGAGAACCGAGGGTCTCGATTCTCTATTCCAGGAGCTACAAGGGTAGAGGGGGGGCAGGCGGTAAACGGGTGGGATGACCCACCCCACACCCCAGGTTCAAGTACATGGAAGAGCTCCTGGCCTCAGAGCTACAGGGCTCTGGTGGCAGCTCTCTGCCTGGGGATGCGGCTGGTGGGGCTCAAGTTGCCCGCAGGGTGGGCCCCGGGACCAAAGCCTCAGCCTCACCCACCCAGGAACCCCCACCCAGAACCACTGCAGCTCTGACCAGGATCCAGGCCACGAATTTGGGTTTTTAAGTCTCCAAAACTTAAAACTCTCCAGCCCCAAACCATCCGGGTTCTAAGTCTCTAAATTAGACTGCTAAACACGTGACACCTGGGGCCAGACAGGAGAGCCTCCTGGGCCCTGCACATCAGCTGCGATGCCGTGGGGGGTGTGGCCTCATTGGTGGGGCTCGGGAAAGACCCCCAGTGGAAGGGAGCCTGGGAGCAGAGCCGGACAGGTCACAGGAGCTCAGCCTGACCCACCCTCCTTTGGGCCCCGCGGTCTAGGGAGTGGGATGGGGCTTGAGAGGAGGAGCCTCCCCCCGAGCGGAGCCCCCGGACCTCATTTCCACGCCCAGAGGCGTGGCGCGGCCCTCTGCAGGGTGAGATAAGGGGCTGGAGGTCAGAGGACAGCTCCTCCGGCTCCAGACTTAAGAGGCACCATCCCTGGCCCGGCTGGGGGTGGGGGCGGGCGGTGATGGGGAGGGGCGGGGGAGCTGGCAGGCACAGCCCCGCAGGAAGCAGACTGTTTGCGCATCCGCCCCGGCGGAACCCGGCTGTGAGACCGCCTGTTCTTCCTTGCAGTCCGATGGAGCGTACGACGTCATCCTCCCGCGGGCCACCGCCAACAGCCAGGTGACGGGCAGTGCCAACTCCACCCTGCGGGCCGAGGACATCTACGCGGCCCAGAGCCGCCAGGAGGCCACGCTGCCCAAGGAAGGCAAAAACTCTCAGGTGTTTAGAAACCCCTACGTGTGGGACTGAGCCGGCCCCCGGAAGAGGCGGGCAGATGGGAGGACCTGGCCCCTGGAGAGGGTCTTCTCCCCTACCCAACCCGGAGCCCGCGCTCTCCCCACCCCCTCCCTCCTTGCTGGCCCAGGGCAGGGCGTGGGTCTCAGCCGGGAGACCCTCCCCGTCTGCCCATGTTCGGATGGGCGTCCTGGCGCCCCCACCGGCTGCTCAGTGTTTGCGGAGTCCAGGAGCCAGCTCCAGCTTCCTGCCAGGGTCACCTCCGGTGGCCACGCTCCAGCCAAATAGTGTTGTTCTTCTTGGGGTGGCGGCCGGCCAGCACCTACGTTCTCTGGAGTCTTCAGAGAGATTCCTGCCACCTCGAGAGACGTCGCAGGCGCTTCTGCCCTGCGCCGTGTTCCTCTGTGAGGAGCACGGATGCCTAATAAACACGTTTCTGCTTTGTTAACCCTTCTTCCGGGAATGTCGTGTCTGATCTGGGCTCTCGGTCTCGGATGCCCCGCTCCTCTGCCCTGGCCTGTGGGTGTCCCCTCTTTCTCCTCCTCCCTCTGAGTCCAGGTCCCAGGAAAGCCACTGCCCATCTCTCCTATCGAGGGGTGAAGGGGCTGACGCCTCCCTCCAGGGAACGGATCTTCAGCTGAGCCTGGCTCTGTGTCCTGTGTGAGCAGGATGGCTCTCAGCCCGGCTCCCGTCTCAGGTCTTATCCGGCATCTGGGCTTGTCTGAAACCAGGCCGCTTTCTTCTGGACCCCGTCTACTGGGATGGAGGGCAGGGAAGTCCGGCCCAGCAGCAGGCGGTTCTATGGAGTGTTATGTGTAGGGGAAGACGGGCGGCTTCAGCCCTTCGTGGAAACAGTGGTGAAGCTGTCAGGGGATATGGTGGAGAACCACTGCTCCATCTCTCAGGTCACGTGTGTGTGCTGGGGAGTGACTCAGAGAGGACCAGCCCTTGTTTAGGAAGGTGGAGGGGGCGGGCCAGGTTCTGGTTGGTTTCACTCCTGGGCGGGAATTTAAATCCCCATTTGCTCAGTCCTTTACGGTAAAGCCTGTCCACAGCAACGCGTTTTAATCCTTGGAGCTGACCCTGAGAGATGGGTAGGATGGCACTTTCCCTTTTCCAGAGTCAAATCCCAGAACCAGACTGTTTTACGGTTACGCAGGGTCTTGGGCCTGAGTGACCAACGTAGCTCTCCCGCCCCCTCCCCCCGACAGGTAAGCAGACTGGCCCAGAGAGACCACAGAGCCTCTAGAAGCGGCCATGCCTTCAACTCTCAGGACTTTTAGCGGGTCCCAGTGACCTGGGTTCAGACAAACAGCGGTGCCCTGACTCTTGGACACCAGTTCAAGGCTTTGCAAGGGGTCTGCTAAGTGAACCCCTCCCAGGCTTGGGAATATTTCTCCCCAACTCCCCAGAAGCTATTTTCTGACACCGACTGTAGGGAAAAAAATGTTTCTGTTGGAAGGGGGAGAAAGGTTTCCAGAAGAAAAAATAAATCAGACTTCTCCTTCAGTGTCAGATTATACCATCCCCCTGGGGACGCGCTTTTTTTGTTGTTCTTGTTCTTTCTTTAGTTGTTCAAACACGTGTTCTTTCTGGTCATTTTAGGCTCAGTCCCCGCAAAATAGCACGAGATGGTAGACGCCCTCTTCCCTGGACCACATGACGTTCAGAGGTCCTCTTCCCTGTGTGGGCTGGGCAGGGCCTTTCTCTTTGGAGCTGGGAGGGCCCTGAGGTCACCCATCTGGAGTGGTGGAGTCAGGGGCCGTGTGAAACAATGAGGATGTGGCTGGGGCTCAGGGCACCCCCCCCAACCCCAATTCCGGCCTCTCCTGGTCTGGTCCCCGAGGGACTTGAGACTGCAGGAGCAGTCTGCAGACACCAGCCTGCCTCTGGACGCCCTCCCCCCACACACTGCTCCTGCTTCTCCCTGCTACGGCTCTCCAGATGACCATCCTGCAGGGCCACCTTTCTGTGTCCATCCCACTCTGCTCCAAGGTGAAGCCAAACTACGGTGAAGCTGGCCCTGGCCCTTCTCACCAGAACCTCCTGCCACCTCCTGGCCTGTGGAAGGCCGCTGAGCTGGGCACAGCTCCCTCAAGGCCTGGACAGACTGTGCCTCTAAATGGCCTCTGAGCCCCTCAGCATCACCACCCCATATCTTCCATGAACTGGGTCCCGTCAAGATGCAAGGTGGGGTGGGGCTGCATTCTCAGGGATGAACTGGGGGCCCAGGCCTCTCCCAGGACTCAGACTTGTGGGACTTGGGACAGTCCCTTAGATAAGTGACATCCACGACCGAAGATTGTGCCACTTCCCGATGAGCAGATGGCAGGGTGTCTACCTCACCTTGGGCACCTGGAAGGGCTGGTGCTACCGTCTTCACCTACGACTTGCTCCATCAGGGCCTGGCGGCCACCAAGGGAGCGAGAGCATCCTTGGGACCTGAAAGGGGCTGGCACCACCAACAAGGATGTGCACACAGCTTCAGACTCGGGGGAAGGAGATCTCTGTCGTGTCATCTCCATGGTTTCCTCCTGCCCTTGGGTACCGCCCCTGACTCATCCAAGGAGCCCATGCCAGGTGTGGGAGCTCACCTCTGTGTGCGGAGATGGAGGGTGAGCCCGAGGCAGGTGCTGACTCCGAGGGCAGTCCCACAGCCCCCTGGTGCCACCCTCCTGCCCCCAGCATCTCTGCTTTAGTCACTGGGGTGTTTCTCCAGGGCTAAGTTGGGTGAACAGACCCTGCAGAGAGCATGTCTGTACCCCAAGTGTGACAACCCCCTCGCCATCCACTGATCCTTGCACTGGGCTTTCCGGTTCCACGAAGGGAGTATAACTTACTCTGATGAAAATGAAGAGGGGAGCTCTGTGCACCTAACTCCTCGCGATCTAGGTTAGTGGCCCCAAAACCGCTCGCTATGAATAAAGGCTCTGTCTTGCATTTCGAGCTGATAGTCCTGTGTGTGAGTCCTGGCAGTGCTAAGCGACCATGGGGAGCTGCGGGCGGTGAATGTGGGTTTGTTCAGAGTCTGAGTCCCCTGGGGGCTAGCAGCCGGTGAGGCTCGAGCAGGGTGGGCTCCTGATGTTCAGACCTGCCTGGATTCGAGAATACCCCTTGGCCCTGCTTCTTCCAGTCTTGGGCCAGGTGATCCAGCTGCATCACACACAAACCTCCAATGGAAAAAACCAGCATCGGCCCAAACCAGGTGCAGGGGACACCTATGTAAATTGCACGCCCATCTCTGTCAAACCGTGTGGAGCAGTTATGGCTTCATCACTGTTCAGGATTAAATGAATTTATTCTCCGTTTGGGGACCGAACCCAGGTCTCCTGCATTGCAGGCGGATTCTTTACCAGGTGAGCTACCAGGGAAGCCCAATACTGCAGAATCCCTGTATGTTCATTACGAATTTTTCTGGGACTTCCCTGGCAGCTTAGTGGTTAGGACTCTGTGCTCGCATTGCAGGGGGCGTGGGTTCAAACTCAGTCAGGGAACTAAGATCCCACATGCCTCAAGGCGGGCCCCCCAAAAATAATTTTTCTGGGATTTGTTAATATTTTGAATTCGACTCCTTGCCTTCTAGACTAACAAAGACAGCTTGATTCTAACTGAATTTTTTTCTTGGTTGGGGATTTATTCTAAGGAGAGACCGGGTCTCCCAAACCAGCCAGGCCTGAGATCACTGTCTCCTCGCTCTCCTGTTCTCCCCCTAAACACAACAAGCAAGGCCTGGCGATGCAAGGATAGGGCAAGAGAGGGGACCCACCCTTGTCGTAATTCCTGCTACTGCTTGGTGAGCTGCGGGGAGGGGGCAGCACTGGGTGAAATTCTGGGCTCATGGAAAAACAAGCTGGAGCCGGGGACGATCAAAACCTCTCCTGATAACCCTATATGCAAAACAGAAAAAGAGACTCAGATGTATAGAACAGACTTGTGGACTCTGGGAGAAGGCGAGGGTAGGATGTTTCAAGAGAACAGCATTGAAACATGTATATTATCTAGGGTGAAACAGATCACCAGCCCAGGTTGGGTGCATGAGACAAGTGCTCGGGCCTGGTGCACTGGGAAGACCCAGAGGGATCGGGTGGAGAGGGAGGTGGGAGGGGGGACCGGGATGGGGAATACATGTAAATCCATGGCTAATTCATTTCAATGTATGACAAAAACCACTGCAATGTTGTAAAATAATTAGCCTCCAACTAATAAAAATAAATGGAAAAAAAAAAAAAACCTCCCCTGAGCCCGAGGACCCGCCAAGCACGACTGCCCGCAGTTACACATGTGGTCCCCAAACTCAGGGGGACCTCACCGTTTCTGTACGAGCAAGGCACAGGTTAAGTGACTCGCCCGTGGTCACGCGGCCAGTAAGGGTCCATTAGCCCTCCAACCCATTCTCACCCAGCTTAGCACTTTCAGCCCCAGGGGGACCCGGATGCTCAGCCACAGATAAGAGTGACCAGACTTTGTTTCCTGCCTGCCGTCTGCACTCTGGGCCCTCGCGGAAGCTGCAGCCCCCGCTCACAGCAGTGCATGAATTATTTAGCACCTGCATCAGCCCGGTAATGCTCTGACCTCATCCTCCCCAGGCTCAGGGAGGGGCTCTGACCTTGGTCTCCTTGAGGGAAGGCGGCTGATGGGCAGAGGCTGGGGCGGTGGGTCCCTCTGGGATGTGGGAGACAGATAGGGGCATTGGTACCCTCCGGGAAGGGGTGGGGGCCAGGGGCCAGTTGCTCGCTTCTAGCAGGAGACGACTGCAGAGGAGAGAAGCGTCCCAGGAATCAGACGGCCATGGGTTCAGATCCGGGATCTTGCTCACTGTGTGACACTGCAGCTCTCCTGACCCTCCCTCGGTCTCCTCATCTGTAAAATGGAAGCGTAAACTCTGAGTTCATATTTAGTGTTGAGCTCCTCAAGGTCACTCCATGGAAGTCATGGCCATGTACACTGGTCTAGTGTTCCCTGCCCAGACAGGCTGCTCTCTAGGCCAGATATTGTCGTCTTCTACCCTCAGGAGGTGCCACATATTTCCTCTGCCGTCCCTCATGGGTGCCCAGGGGGTGGGACAGCAGGCTGCTGAGAGTGGACAGAGCCAGACCTGGACAGGGCCCTGACTGGCAGGGTTGGCAACCACGGTGTTAAGAGGGTCTCCTGGGCACAGGAAGTCAAGAAGCCAGACTGAAGAACTAGGACTGAACAGCTTTCAGTCCGTAAGCAAATGCTTACCAAGCTCCTGAGGACCTCGAAAGATCTGGTCCCTGCCCGCTGGGGGCTCACAGCCTCACTCCTCTGTTCCCAGGTCAGACCCAGGGGCTGGAGTGGGCGCGGGGACAGTGCTTCCATCCTGGCTCCATGCTGGCCTTAGGCGGGGAGATTACACTTCCACCAAGCAGCACCCTCCTGCCAGCCCCCCAAGTCGGCGCCTCTGCGGTCAACGAGGCCCCTCCTGGGGTGGGATGGGCTCTTCCTATCTCCCCAACCTCGGGCAGCTCCCCTGACCCTGGTTGGTTCCCCTCATTTGTAAAATAGACCCCGAGTCTCCAGCTCTGCCTAAGCCCTGGCTGAGGGGACCCCAGCTGTTGAATAAGAGGACCCCGAAACCACAGGCTGCGCTGAAGGGGAGCCCTGGGGCCTCGACTCAAGTCTGGAGACTGAAACCGAAGTCAGTCCGTCGTATCCGCCTCTGCGACCCCGTGGGCTGCGGCCCGCCAGGCTCCTCTGTCCATGGGGATTCTCAGGCAAGAACACTGGAACGGGATGCCATGCCCTCCTCCAGGGGACCTTCCTGACCCAGGGATCGAACCCGGGTCTCCCGCATTGCAGGCCGCCGCTTTGCCGTCTGAGCCACCAGGGAAGGCCTCAAGGTCTGGAGGACTGTTTGGATTCCGGGCGACCACGCCTGGCCCTGCCTGGAGCGGAGGCCCTGGGTGCGGGGGGCGGGGGCGCTGTTGGAGGGTGCCCCTGGAATTCCAGCCGGCTCTCTGCCCCCTTGCCCCGCCTCTCCGGCCCTGCCCCACTGGGGGAGGTACGGGGGGCGGCGCAGGGAGGCAGGCCCCCGAATTCCGCAGACGCCCTGCCGTCTCCAACGCACCTGGGGCGGCAGGCGGAGGGGGTGGGGACGAGCCTCGGGCGGGCCGACGTCACTCTCCGTGTGGGCCCGCCCCCTGCCCCCAGCCAACCCGGGGCGCCTCCGGTTTCCCACCCGCAGCCCCGCCCCGACACCCCTGCAACGCGATCGCCGCCGCGGGGGCAGCAGGCCCGGACCCGCTGTCTCCACCGGTGTCGTCGGCTGGGCGGACAGCCCGCCTGTCTGGGGCCGGCGGGTCCTGCCCCTTCCCCGCCTTCAGGGCCCAGCCAAGATCCGGGCGTTCCACTCAGCCTCCCCGGCTGGGGACCTTTTCTCCGTCCCCTCCCTGACTGCGAGCCCATCACCCAGCCCGGCATCTGTGAGATACAGCGTTCATGCCTGTATCTTTGGGCCGAGCGCGACGCGGGGGCTTGTTCCCTAGAGAAGAAGTCGCCTTCCTGGGCTCAGGAAGCTCGGACGGGTGGGTGTGATGAGGCCCGGGGAGCCTCGCCTCGCGCCCGCCTTGCCTCTGGGGCAGGATTTCTCAGACTGCCAGGACTGCCGTTTGGGCCAGATCATTCTCCGCGGTGGGGGCCGTGCTATCCAGGGAGGACTCGGGGCGCATCCCTGGCCTACGCCTCTAGATGCCACCTAATGTCTCCAGACAGTGCCCAGTGTCCCCTGGAGGCAGACTCCTGGGTGGAGAAGCGCTCCTCTGGGGTGCCGCAGTGGGCGTCCAGCCAGGCTCCAGGGCACTGGCTTTGGAGCTGGGGGACTTCTCCCCTCCCCGGCCCCCCCAAGTCCAGGACTCTGTGACTCTGCTGGGCTTCCCCTCCCCCATCTGGTTTACAGGGACTTCGGGCCAGCCGGGGGAACCGGACCCTCAGCTGACAGCGTTCAGGCAGCATGTGACCAGCCAGCTCCGCTGCTCTGCGAGCCCTTCTCCGCTCCTCCCCGAGCGGGCGCTGAGCAGAGGGCGCTGGGACCCGGGGTGCGGGAGACCCAGATGTTTCTCCGTCACCAGCAGTCAGTGTAGTCAGGGCACCAGGGGACTTAGAGGGTACGTTCGGCTCTGAGAGGAGCTGGGGAGTCTGAGCCCGGCTGCAGGAGGGGGCGTCCCCGTTGGCAGGGGCTTTGCTGTGGACCCCAGTCTTTGGGGTCAACCAGACGTGGCCGGGCTCAGCCTCTGTTCTCCTTCCACGTGTGTGCGCGTGTGTACTCAATTGCTCGGTCGTGTCTGACTCTTGGCGACCTGTAGCCTGCCAGGCTCCTCTGTCCCTGGAATTTTCCAGGCAGGTATACTGAAACAGGTTGCCGTTTCCTCCTCCAGGGGATCTTCCCCACCCAGGGGTCAAACCTGCTCTTCTGCACCTCCTGAGTTGGCAGGCGGGTTCTTTACCACTGTGCCACCTGAAGAGCCCCTCTCCCCACAGGCAAAAAATAGGGCAACCTCTTATGCACGCCTGTTGGCACACACGCACACACACACGGACACACGTGGAGGTAGAGGGTTGGGGAAAGAGGTTTTCAGGGGACAAAAAGGGTTCAGTCCCAGCTGGAGGAGACTCTATTGGGCCCCTTAAGCAGGCCCCTTTGGGGCCGGTCGCACAAACAGAGGAAGGACAGAGAAGGGCGGGGACAATGCTCCGGTCGTCTCCCCGCTTCCCTCCCCACCCCCGCCCACATGCAAAGTAGAATTTTCAAAAGGCTCCAGCCCCAGGCTGGAGAGGGGAGTTTTATTGGTCCCTGGGCTTGCCTGCTGGCTCAGCTGGTAAAGAACCGGCCTGCAATGTGGGAGACCTCTCTCCAGTATAGGCTACCCTCTCCAGGATTCTGGCCTGGAGAATTCCATGGACTTCTCCGTGGGGTTGCAAAGAGTCGGACACAACTGAGCGACTTTCACTT